ACTTCTACTAGTGCTCTACTAAATTTTCTTTTCATTCTTTTTTAGTTTTTTTTTTTTCCAATCATTACTTTAACATAAGTAAAAAATTAGCGCTATAATTTTTAATTTAAAGATTAATTTCTTATATGTTTAATAAATTAACAAATTTTTAATTAATTAATTCTTAATAAATTATTGATTGAATATATTTTATTCAATAAATGCAAACAAATCAATAAGATTAAAAATGAAACAACTAATGTTAATTGTTTTATATTATTTCTTCTATTAATTTCTTATATATTTAATAGATTAGCCAATTTCTAATTGGTTAATCCTTGGTTCGTTTAATTAATTAATTTCATTTTATTCAATAAATGTAGGTAAATATTACAGGGCCAATTTTATTAGCTGTTAATCCGTTTAGCTTCTTTCCAATTTATAATCCAAAGTATGCTCGATTGTATTCACAAATTCGACAACTTTCCAGTATGCCACCACATATTTTTGCTATTGCTAATATTACATATCACAGGTATGCTTTCATCATTCATTTAATTAATGGTAACTTTTTTAATGCTAAAGCTTAAATTTTGAATATTATGGTCATCGAATGGATAAGATTAAGTTAATTTGATGTGATACATTTTCCTTTGATGATGAATGAATGACCAATTTACATGATGGACATCATATTTTGATCATTAGAAAAACATGTTAATAACTTATTCAGCAAATTATTCCATCTAATTTACTTAATGAATGAGCTATAAGGATATTTTATTGGTATAATCTTTACCACTTTTAATTACGATAACTTTTCATGACCTTTGCTAGTATTACACTAACCTTTTACTGTTTTTGCATGAACCTCACTAGCATTACAATAATCTTTTACCTGCTCTTTATGTTGATTAATTTAAATCATAATTTAATATTGAATACTTCCTTGGCCATAACATTTTTTGACAGTGATATGGTACTGTAACAATAATGCTACTGTATGCTATAATACTACATGAAGTTATGTTAGTTATTGATCACATAAATTTTGCTGAAATTTTTTTTTATTTTCCATTCTCATATGTCATGAAGTATTTTAAAAAAAAAAGAAAGGAAAAAAGAAATGAATTGAATTAAAATTTATTTCAGCATGTTACGGATTAAGAAAAATCAATGTATTGTGATAAGTGGTGAATCAGGTTCCGGAAAAACTGAATCAACAAATTTCCTGTTGCATCATTTCACTACACTTAGTCAAAAAGGTTCTAGCACTGGAAGTTCCGTTGAACAAACCCTACTTTCTGCTGGACCTGTACTTGAGGTTTATTTCCATTTTGCCTTTTTTTTTTTTTTTGTAGATTTTTTTTTTTATTAAAAACAATGCAATTCTTGACATCATTAAATATTCCATTACTTTTTAAGGTTAAAGATCAATTGCTGCTTACATTTTAATTCACAGATAAACTTGTATTAGTCTAATTAATATTTTAGTCAAAATTAAAAAAAAAAAAAAAAAGAAGGGCAATTTTTGAGGCATTTGGAAATGCAGTAACAGTGCAAAATAATAATAGCAGCAGGTTTGGGAAATTTATTCGAGTGAATTATCGAGAAAATGGAATGGTTTCAGGGTATGTTTGAAATTTTTAAAAAGCCAAAATATTGATTGGCAATGATACTATCATATATCATTGCATGATTATCATATCTATCCATTATCTTTAAGTAATGATTTGTCCAGTTATTGATAGAAGATCGAAATATTAAATTGGTATTCCTGAAATTTTGGATAGGTGAAGAAATCAAACGATCACAATCATATTAATACATTGATATTTTCATCTTTAAATCATATTTTCATAATGATAGCTAAAATTTCGAATTAAATTAATAAATCGAAATTATTAATAATTTTTAATTATTGATTGATAAAATTTTTTAATTATTGGTGAAATTAATTAAAAAAAAATTTTTTTCAGAGCAAATGTTGAAATTTATTTGCTAGAGAAATCACGAATTATTTCACAAGCTATTGATGAAAGGTAAAAAGAAAAAAGGAAAGAAAAAAGAAAAACTAATAAATGTTTTTTGCTAATTGTAAAATTTAAAAAGTTTTACCCAAAATTTTTGTTTTACTTCTTTTTTTAAATCAAATTTTATTAATAAAACTTCTTTGTGTTTCTTCTAGGATAAGTTAATGGGATGAGATAATGTCAAATGATAATTTTGATAATTTTGATGAGAAATTACAATAAATGATAAACATTCATTTCATAATTTGCATAAAATTTTATACCTTTTAGGAATTATCATGTTTTTTACTATTTATTAAATGGTGCAACCGACGAGGAGCGACAAAGGCATTATTTGTTGCAACCAACCGATTATAATTATCTTAATCAGGTAAATAGGAATGGTAGTTGCTAATTTTTATAGATTAATTATGAAATAATAATTTTACGGATTAATTAATCTTTTTTATGATTTAATTGTAAAAATTTGTGCAAAAATTGCACAATTATCTTTTGCAAACAATCGGAAAACTTTATTTAGTTTTTTTCAAAAATTTGGTTTTCCGGTTTTTATTTGAGCAATCTTTGAAATATTCGAAAGTATCAATATTATGCTAGTAATGTATTCTGATAAGAAGCGTATGATAGGATGATCTGGAAATGATGATATGATGTGAAATATATGATGAAAAGGTCATGTGTATAATTTTTTCTTTTTTAATTATTGATATTTTCCAGCAATGACCACAATTGGTTTGATAAGCTGATATCATATCAAATCATATCACACTTCACAGAATATCTCATTTAAGCGCTTTATTATCATATACAAATGATAAGGATTGTGAGAATTTCCAAAATGCAAAATGATTGCAGAAATTTGCTAAGTGGAAGGAATGAAAGATTTGGAAATAACTCTTTTGCTTTTTCCTACCATTCTTTCATAACTTAAAAGGCGCAAAAATATCGCAAATGATAGCGCTTAAAATTATTCAAATCATAATTCACATCAGTTAACATTCTTGCTATATGCATGCATGCATGCATGCATGATATGCATTTGGAAATATGCGTGCGAAAATGTTGCAAGCAAACAAGTGTGAAAAGAGAATGGAAGAAATGAAATGTTGTTAAATGGATAGATGTTGAAACGATCATTGTTGTGAAATGTTTTGAAGAAGCAAAAAAAAGTAGTCAATTTAGAAAGGATAACTAAGATATCTCGTCTTAGATATTTCACATTTTTGAATTTGAAAACTCTCATACATCTTCAATATTATGGTAGATCGCGGGAAAATCATCAGGCAATATTGCTTCATTTTTTTTTTTAGCTCGCTTTTTCCTTCCCTTTTTTTTTCTCGCATTTATTCAAATATTTCTCTCCTCCTATTCTCTTTTGCTACTAAAATATGCATTCAATGATTTGTAAATTTTAAATAATTTTTAATTCTTGACTATTCCCGGGACAAAAAAATGAAGTATTCTCGAATATTCTTGGAAAAAAATCAAAAAATTAAGTTAAAAATGAATTGCGAAAAATTGGATTTATTGTGATTATTAATTTATGCAATATCTTTTTTCCATTTTTTTTTTTTAATTTATTAATTCATTCCTTATTGTTTAGAAATTTAATTTTTTTTTAGAATAATTTTTATGCAGCTGAAGGAGTAAACGAATGTTACGAATATCAAAGACTTAAATATGCTATGGATGCGGTTGGCTTTTCACAACAATCCCAACAAAATATGTTTGCTGTCATTTCAGCTGTATTACTTCTTGGAAATATACAGTATGTCAGGGTATGATTACGGTTTTATTAATTCTTGGAAATGTAAAATATGTTGGGTTATGATTACGGTTTTATTAATTCTTGGAAATTACACAGTACATCAGGGTATGGTTACGGTATTAGTTCTTTGAAAACACATGATAAGAATATGATTAC